CGAAGAGGACGACGACGACGACGACGACGACGACAGGGAAACGTCAGAGGTTTCGCTCGTCCGCACTTTGCAATCGATTTGCTGCGAGAGTCGATAGTGTGCTCGCTCATGTTTGGCATACCATTATAGTGAATCGCAAAAAGGCAAAAAGAACGATACTAACCTCTAATCTCTATTCATCTTTTTTTTTTATTCCAAAAAACTGTTTGATGAAAATTTATTATAAATAAATTTCAATCCCGTTTTGCTAAATGTGAATGTAAATGAATTACGAGAGAAATATAATAGAGAGAATCAAAACATTCTTAAATTCGTATTTCATTCAATGAATTCTTTGAGCAATTAAAAAATCAACTTGCCTGAGCGTTAATTGAATTAAATATTATTTTGTAATGTTGTAAATGTTGCAATATGTATCTTTAATATCCTTGTTAGTCTCTGAAATATTATCCGCTTAAAATCAAGTGAACAATGAAATTTTGTTATTTACATATATTTCTGGAATTTAATTGATTAGAAAAAATCTATAAATTGTCTATAAATAAATAAATCTATAAATAAAGAAACATTATATAGATTTTTCATCATTTACAATAAAAATCTACTTGATGTTTCTTATATTAAAAAAAATTATATCCGATTTTATTCGATTGAAATCGTGGATATATATATAAGACAAAAGCAAATATTTTGTATGCTTTATATATTACATGTATTCTTTTAATCAAGTAGCTAGTAAAACATTTGAGAAAGTTAACGAGATACATGATGAATTGCTCTGTATCGACAAGCGCGTTTATACTCAAGCCGCACTTTCTTAGCCGCAGCGGCTGTTATAAACCTCGCACATTAATTCTCGGCTAGAGTGACGAAAATCAGGCGTAAACTGACGCATGCTTGTAAGCCATGAGTAGTGTGTACATTGTTTCCACAACCTCTGGACCAGTCCCAAAGCGTCAGTCTAATGTTTAGATCGCCGAAGATGCCGTGGCGCTCGTTAGGAGAAACACTCATGCGAAACCGCGAATTTCAGAATGCTCTTGACCGAAATTTACGTTGTGCTTAATTTTTAATTTTAACATCCGATATATAATAAGACATGCAATAAAATATGCATACATATATGCGTCGGCGGTTAAATTATTCCGATAATAATCACGAGTTTATGTTATATAATTAATTAATCGCGGTAATATCTCCGATTTATCTATCTCATGAGTGAATATCTCTGCTAATTTGAGGTAAAATCAATCATCGAGGAAGAACATTGCACATTAATAGAGGATTGCATTTCACGAAAGTAAATGGGATAATATCTGAATTGTTTAGAATCATTTGTGAATTAATCTATTACGTAACAGACAAGATAAATCCAACCATATAAATTTATAAAAAAATGCTATTACATGGAAAGTAAGGATAAAATAAGAAACTTCTTTTTTCATGAATTAAGATAGATCAGTTAGGAAAATTATATGAATAGGGAATATACATTCCTTCTGCTTAACTTGCACAATTATCATTATTAGTTAATTTTACAAAGATATTCAATTTGCATTCAATTTTTCAAACAATTTAAACAATTATTTGCATCGGATAATACCATGAAATACGTAGCTGAACCACACGGTATCATTCAAACATACCAAGAAAAATATTATTCCAGCGGCTATTGGTTTTTCTGAACCGGATCTCATACCGTCGATTCGGGATAAAAAGAATAACGTGCAAATTTTACATATACATACACACTTTCGCTTATTATGTATCATATTTCTCACGTATATATCAAGAGAGATCGTGCGTGATTTATTAAAGTTTCACTTATGTGAAATCGCAATAATTGTTCAATATCCTTGAAAGACATTCATCCGTCTTATAGTTTATAATATTGTCGTTTCAAAAAGCTTAAAAATGTTTAAATAAACATTGTGGAATTTATAACGTTGTGAAATTTATATCTTATATATGTATAATAATTATAATAACATTTATTATAATTATTAAATAGAAAATCGCGTGTAAAATTCATCAGTTATTTTATTGCACGTAAATTATATGAACTTATCGAAATGTGACGTACAAAACACAGCAATTTAAAAAGTTATTCATACAAAATTTTATATATGTATATGTATACATAAAATATATTTTCTAATATAAATCACATCCAATATAAATCTCTCAACATGGCACACAAGGCATAATTCAATAAGGCAATGACAAGACAACTAATGCGCCTAGCTCGATTGACCTTATTCCAGAAACTAAACAAGATATTTAATACAAAGGAGAGAAAAGCAAGAGGGAAGGCAGAAACCTCAACTGTGAAACGCTCGTCTTCCAATTATGTAGAATGTAAACGGATAATTTACAAACTTGATGAATGTATATAATACGCAAACAACTTATTCAATGCAAGTAACTTTGAAAACGAAACATGGATTCTCTATATGAGCTCGATTTTGCGCTAAGATGTAAAATCTGGTTATAGAGAGAGCTTTGGTTACTGACCTCATTTTCATGTAATTTAGTACACAACCTTTTCAAAACATGGCGGCGGGTGTGTAAATTAAACGAAAGTTGATCTGCTGATTCATGTTAGACCGGCAGCTTTTATCGCCTTACAACGCCCAACATGGGGTTTCGCGGGCCCCCACGTTTCGCTTGAAAAGTTACGTGTACCGGCGTCCTGTGCGCGCCCTCAAAGTTTATAAAAGTTATTCGTCTACATCCTGTAAATGGCTTGCAGAGAAAGAGCGAATTGTAGCGCGGAAAGCGAAACATGAAACAAGCAAGAAACAAGAGAGAGAGAGAGAAAGAGAGATGGTTCAGATGGCGGCATGACTTACGCAACAACGGCAAATAACGCTAATGAGTTCGCTACTCGTATTCTTTCAGCAGGAAGCTCTCCTTGGAACGAACTCATTGCTAAAGAACAGTACGAAAACGAGCGACACGTATTTTTCGATGAACGAAATTACGTATTATATGTTGTATATACATCTAAAATTCTGTAACATGATGAATTACATATCTCAAACATAAAAAGTTAAAAAAATAATATTATAATATTATTATTATTTATAACAACAATAATAATAATATCGATATATACAATGTTAATAATAATTATATCTCATATGTAACGTATCATTACTAGAAATATTTTTCGTTATACGAATTATAAATATATTTGTTATCAATGATTAATTATCTTTAAGTTAATATTTTAACATGAAAAAGAGTTCCGTGTCATATATAATTATAAATATAAGTATGGCAACATCTTACTGAGAGAGATCCTTGGTAACATCTTCAATAAACACAACGCGAACGTGACGAGAATAAATAAGATTAGTACACGTGCGCGGACATCATCAAACCGACCTGATTAGATATCACGAAAAAGCCACGAACGCATGACCGCTATAAATATTCTGTAAAGTGCGGCCACACATTGCCGAGCGTCTCCATTCGTTCATTTCGTAATGAGCTTCCTCTACGCGGTATCATTTTGCGACGTATCATTATTTATCGTATATGTTAGAAAACAGAAGGAGAAAATTAAGGTCTGCCGGAAAATTTAGGTTTTCCCCTCGCCATTTTCGTGTTGCTTCTCCAACAACCTAAAGGTTTTCAACCATTTATCTTGGCTAACAATAAAAGAAACGTAAAAATATAATACAGAACTGTCTGTATTTAATTGTTTGTAACATCAAAGTATGTCAACAAATCATTATCAGTAACTTATTCGTCAAACGGACCTGATAAATTTGCAAAAATTTATAAGTGACGTTAGCTAAAGTTCAATCGATCAATTTCCATCAATTTCTCATATGCAATACTTTTCACTCCCCGATATATCTTATGCAAGGTAAAACCGAGTTCTATCGAGCCCTCTTGTCGTTCATATCTCATTTCTTTGGTATCTAAGAGACATCCCTTTTAAACGTGCTTTTGCACAGATGCTTCGCGTAAAAAAAAAGTATAAAGCTATAGATAATACGAAGATTTTTATGTATCGCTGTTTGAGGATCACAAATATGTGTTAACGGAGGTAATCTTTTAGCCTTTACACAAGGCGTTGTATAAACTTATAAAAATATATAGATACGGCGTCATACAACGCGCAAAACTTGACATTAAGTTCTGCCATTTTTCACGTATGATATTTCTCTTCTTACATAAAAAGGTACTTTTCAGAGATGATGTATAGTAACGTTCTCTGTCACAAAATAAGGAAATACGTCAAGTTGTAAAACAGTAGAAAATACAAAAATTGTATATTTTCCGAAGTTTTCAAAGACGTACTTTCCTTAACTTTTTATAAGTGACATTTTTCGACAATATTTTCCGCCACGGAATAAGGAAACGTATCAAACTATAAAACTGTCAATCACGACAATTTTCAAATCGCTGTCAAAATTTATCGCTTCTATTACATTTTCTCCGAGTTTGCTTTTGCAAATGGCACCGGTCCTCTTTAACTTTTTCAAAATGATATTTCGTAATACAATTTTTGCTTTACCTATATAAAAAGGTATTGTTAAGCTTTTACTTCAATAAGAATTTTAATTAACCGGCTTAACCGCCGATTAATGTTTAACAATGGAAATAAAATGCGCAATATAATATAATAGCATCAAACTTCGTTAAAGAAGAATTCAGTCGTCCGTTAGATTCCCGTTAATAATGACATTCCCCTCCCCCCTTCCACCCGTAAAAAAGCCGCTTTTCAACTTCTTGATAATGATACACCTCGACAGTGCCTAGCAACCTCGTGAGAGAAAACGCATGTCGGACATATAAATCAGTAAATAATAACCGTGAAGACGCGCGGAAGGGGATAATGCCCGCGATGGTCAGACTGACGTTCCCGCGAGCGGGACTTCCCCGACCGGATGGATGCCGCCGCCGTTGGCATCCATCGCAAACGATTGTCAATGCGGTTCGATTACGCTATATTAAGTATTTTTTAAATTTTCTTTGCCACATACCTGGACTGGTCTGCCAAGATAGGCCGCCGATGAACATTTTCCTAGAAAAGAAAGACGATTCCATCAGGCTCGCCGTGTCCAAGTCGCGGGTCGTCGGCGGAAGAGGAAGCGGACGCGGGGAGACTGCCGGCAGAGGGTAACTTCCGGTACTATTTTGCAACCCCCTGCGCAGTCTCCCGTCCTTGGCGGCAGGTGTCACCACACATCAACAATCGAACAACACACGTTTTCTTTTTCCTTTTTCCTTTTTTTCTTCGCGAACAACGTTTCTCGTCGTGACGCGCCCGAAGACCGGATCTTCCGGATCGCGGAACGGAGTCGCGAGACACGCGACTTCTTCTCGGACCGGCACCTCCGTTTCACTTCCCTTTCCTTTTCACACGCAGTTGCACACATCGAATCACACGATCGATCCATGTCGATCGATCAGCCAACCAATTCGTTACTTCCCCGTGCCCCATCCTTCCCCATGCAGATCCCGTCAATCTCGAATTTGCGCCGTCAGAAAAAAACCGCGCGATGTGTATCTTATCTCTCGAAATCCACTATCACTACGGAATTAACGGAAAAGATAACAAATGTACATAGTACATGCAATTAGATGTAAGCGATATACGATGTTCTCTGGACGAAGAATTCAGCCTGCTCACTAATAATCATTATTTCGATACTTTATGAATTATTGTGATAAAGAAACCGAATTGATATTGGGAATTCTCGCATCTGTAGATTCCCTCGGAAAGTTTTACAACTTAAGTCCTTAGCTCTCTCTCTGAATTAAGCAGAAAGAAAAAAATCCTGCAGGGAACCGCGTGACGATAATATTAATTACGGTCGCTCGAAACCTCTCCATCGAGAAACAGTCACTAGTTCGAACACGTGCCGCTTATCAATCAACTATCCCAAAGCGGAAAATCTGCGTGTTATCTGTTTTACAGATCGATGAACGATCCGCGTGAATGTCGGCTATCTATATACTGAGAGTGAGCGACATGCATTTACTAAAACGGCTTTACAAGGATTCCGATGTCATAAAGAGCTCTAGATGAAAACTTCTAGCTATCAAGGTTATCAAGCGATTAAAAAAAAAACCGACGACACCTGAGCTTTTTAGATAGACCGCAGAAATGAGTGACGCGAACCGCTCCGCGTCAATAAACAAGGTCGATCCGGAAGACCGCTCCGGATAAGACCGGCTAGCGTAATCTCCCGAGGAAGCGAATTGCGCGCTTCTCGCACGACAGGCAGTGACCATAATCGATCCACGTACGCGTCATTAATTAGCCGGCTTAAGTATCCGTCAGCGTTGCGTCGATAAGGAAACGACCTCCCATCCTTTTCATTCATGATCTCGTCCGCTCTCCCCCCCCCCTCCCTCCTTCCACATCCTCACGGATGAGGAGCGATCCCCACTCCTACTGCTCCACTCTTCATCATCGTCGTCGCAAATAATCGCGCCTCGCATTATTACACGGTGAGATAACGCTCCCGCTTGGTAGACGTAATCACGTGGTGGCGCATTTGAACATCGATTTTCCGAGCCACGGTATAGCTATCTTCCTCCCACGCGCGCTCGCTCGCCCCTCCCGCCGCCACTTCCCCCCCCCCGTGCCTACTCCACTGCATCTCTCTACCTCTATCCGTCTATCCATCTAGAGCTTCCCAATTGGAAAAATCAAAGTAGGCTACCGTTTCCTCTAAAGCTCGCGATCATCGCGAGAATTAAATCTGGAACCGGTATATATGCCGCGGATAATCTTGACGTGACAATTATACATATTCTCGATATCACTTATCGTTAACGTCAGTGTCACTTAACCTTTCAATTCTCCAATGAGAGCGGTATCTTTTTAGAGAAAAATTATTGTGAGATGTTATCATTCAGTTATTAAATTCATTGAAAGAAGTTTATCTAAATTCATTTATCTGTCGATATAAGCAACGTAAAATATACACATATATCGACATTTTATCATTGAATATCATTGAATACTATTTAAAGCGTCAGACATGTCAAAAAAAACTCGTTCAAAGATCTCTTGTCAGATACTAAATCATATACTTATATTTATACATGTATCTACATTTACACACAAAAGAGAAGAGATATTAAAGATCTCATATTGTAAATGTGCTTCAAACATTTAATCATGTAGAGTTTCAAACAATACTGTATAATTGTCATTTAAATTATCTCAAGATATATTCGTACTTTAAAGTACATTTTATATTGATTAGATTTGAAAAGCAAATATACAAACTTTATTAAAGTATTTATACAACATTAAGTCACGAATCAAAGACTGTATTGAATCACCACTATATAATAGCGATTAAAGTCATTTTTCTTGTATTGTAAGTTTACAATTTGTTTCAAAATTAATCTTTTAGTATAAAATTAAAATTTTTGCTAATATACTTCCTAATTCGTTAAAGGAATCGTATCAAATGTGTTTCAGTTATCAAAGAAATATTTAACCAAGTCGGAGTAATTACTAAATTCGAATATATATTTATAATTTCTTACAAATACATTTCTGAATGTGTGCCTTGTCTGGAGTTACTCAGGAGAACATAAGCATTACTGCCATTTCCTCAATATCATCGGGGACGAAATTAGCAACCAGATATTGCAATGGCAAAATATACTGTAGTCAGAATCTAAAATTCATGATTTCCTGTGATATAAAGAGTAACCGGAACAATCGATGACAACACGTAATAAAATTTTCGAAGACGAATACCTCACCATACTCATCATGATTGTCAGTATAATTGAAGGTACAGTTCAAACAGGTCAAACGCCGGTTGGGTGAGTATTAAATCGAGCGATTTAGCGAATATTGTATCAATTTCGTATCTTGCGCTAGTAATGGTTAGTAGCATAATTTAATCAATCCATCAGCCACGAACAATCTAAGCGAAACGTTCTCCGGGCATTAAAGATCTCATCGGATAAGCGTTACATCGATCACAGTGCGGTCGAACTAATGCTAATCAATTTTGTTATTTCACAATCATCATAAACAAAAGACGTGACCTAATTAATTTGTTAGTCACAACCGAAACCGTACAAGACTGTCAAGTATCAAACAATACATATGTCATCAACAAACCGGACACGTACAATCGAACGAACAGAATCGATCGGATACCCCACTTTTGATTCGTTTTAGTCAAGGATGTAATCAATTCGTTAACCACAACCGACGCTAAACCGATTCCTCGTCAAGTTTCAAGTATGTAAAAATCAAAAATATACTTGACATTAAACTAATCCAACTACTAATCGCGTGAAAATGTGTTAAAATCCAATTCGACAACACTACACGTCATTTACGCGGAGCACCCCCGGACCCGTGCTCCATTTCGGGCAATCACGTGACAAGACCACGCGTAATTTCGCCCCGAGAAGAATCGGTCCACCACGTGGCCATCGCACGAGGCGTGGTGTATTCACGTGTGGTATTCCAGTATTTCGCGTTCTTTCGCGAGAGTCTGCGAAATGTGTCGGCTGACGGGCAAGATTCGAAGGTGGCGGCATCTCCTCTCCCTCCCTCCTTCTTTCCATTCATCCGACTCTCTCTCCCACCCCTGGTTCCCATCCACCTACCCCGTCGACGGGGGGGCGGGGAGAGGGGGGGTGGTGGTGTACCAAGCGCTGAAAGAAGGCGCCACCGGTCCGAGGAGAGGCACGCATATTCACGCGCCCGGCAAACATAAACACCATGCGTGCTTTCCGTCGCGTGCGATTCGACGACGGTGCATTCGCGTCGCCGGACGGCGGAGATCGGTTTCGAAATCATGGCAAAGTGGCGCGATCCATCCGTTTTTTTTTTTTTTTTTTCGGGAAGCGACCGACGTTAAACCAGAACACTGACACGGAGAGCAGGATAACAGAAACACAAGCTTTTTCCAAGGACGAGCGATCGCCGCGCGGCATAGTATCAACGCACTGAGAACGAAAGCGCTCCATTTTCCCGCCCGTCGTTCCCCACCCCCTCTTTCTCCTTTCACATTCTCCCACGCATTCACGCATACATACGTCCTCCCTTACGCTCGCTCTCTTTCTCTCGCTCATTCTCTCTCTCTCTCTCTCTCTCGCACTCGCTCTCCCTCCCGCTCTCTCTCTCGTGTGGTCGATCGTTGATGGTCGATGTAGTGGAACGTTTCGTGGTTGCCCGGGAGTTGTAAACGGAGGCTGCCGTTCACGTGGTGGACGGTGACAGCCTCTCGCACCTTTCTGGTTCGCTCATTTCGCTTTCGTACCCTGGATCGTTGGGCACCTCGGCGGGCGAACCGCTCGCTACGATCTCCTGGTTCTGGGACTCCATAGCAGCGCGCGGCGCACGATTACTCGTCGTCGTCGTCGCTAGGCTCTCGCGTGCCCGGGGTGGCAGCGACGGCGGTCGGCGAGTTCGCTCGCGTAGCGGAGTAGCGGTGCTGTTGTCTAGTGCTGTCGTGGACAATGATGCTGCTGCTGCTGTTGCTGCAATCGCTGCGGACGGTGTCCTCGGGTGCTCGCGACGGTAATCTCGTCGCCGACGGTAGCGGCGAGCGTCGTCGCGGCGGAGCTCGTGACGTACGAAGGGGGTGGTGTCACGACACGCGCGAGACTTCCCTCGCTCCGAACTTGCTCCAGTTGTGCCGGTGCTCCAACTACGGTTTCAAAGCCTCTCTCTCTCGCTCGCTCACGCTCGATTACGCTCCTTCTGGCGTCTTCCTCTTTCTCTCTCTCTCTGTCTCTCTGTCTCTCTCGCTCTATCTACCTTTCGGTCACTCCGGATTATGGAGGGATGGTGCGTTCGCTGATAATCGCGCGGCACTACTAGACGAAAGCGCGATTATTGACGGCGAAGGAGTGTATGCGAAACGGGTTGTGGATCAGGATATATACCCCGCGCTTTGTCGCGCCACGATGACAACGGTGACAACGACGACGACAATGACGATGGCAAGGATGACGACGACAACGACGAGGAGGATGAGTACGAGGACGATGACGACGACGACTAATAGAGTATACACGAGGGAAAAAGGCTGTCGACCTCTCGCTCGCTCTTTTGACTCCGGTATTACTTCTCTTCCCTTGGTCTCCCTTCGCCAATTACTTTCTCCTTCTCTCTCTCTCTCTCTCTCTCGCTCTCTTTCTCTCTCCGCACTCTCCTCACACTACCGACTACTAAAAACTAAGAAGGTGAGAGGTTACGTGGCTGCGCGGTACGGCGACTACTGATGACGGGCGGCGGCCGGTACTCGGACGTGCGACGCGCTCTGCGAGAGGTTCGACGCGACACTGCGCTCTCGGCGCGGGGCGGGGGGAAGGGGGGTTGGGGGGAGAGGGGCATGCGGCGGCGGCGGCGGCGGCGGCGGCAGCGGCGGCGGTGCGGCGGCGGCGGCAGCATCGGCGGCGGTGGCGGTGGTAGTGGCGGCGGCGGGGAACCTCGGCACTCCAGCGGCGGGGGGTCGGAGAAGGCACCGCGCCTGCGCCGTCCCCACTCGACGCCGCTAGCCGCGAAGCGGAGAGGGGAACGCCACGACCGCGTACCCGCCTCCGATCGCGGCCTGTTCGCCTGCTCGCTCGCTCGCTCGCTCGCTCGCGGATAAGCGAGCTAAACATTAAACTTCGCTAGCGCGCGCGAGAACGTGCGAGTGAGAGGGCGAGGGTGATCCTCGCGCGAAAAAGTCCGACCACCCGCGCGCCTACACTACTTGCTCCACTTCCTCGCCTCCGCGTGACCCACGGCCGAAAACGTAACCCTCGCGCGAACAACGGGGACAGGTATTGCGAAAAATTTGCTCGCTCTTTAATTATGCCTTTCTCTTGCGTGATTACTTCTTTTTTTTACAATTTTTACATTATCCAGAAAAGAATATTTAAAAAAGAACCATCACTAAAAAGAGAAAAATTAAAATGTTATTTTGCAAAGTGATGGATTTAAACAGCAATCGTATTCGTTCGCTGTTATTCACAAGATATTTAAGATCATGCATACGTACAACAAACACACACATACATACACGCGCGCGCGCGTACGTACACGAAAGAAAATATAAGACGTCCTCTTTCAACTGCGCTGATTTATACGAACTTCTATGCATGCATCATGTTCTATCGTTCTATCCAATTACACAGAAAAACAAGCGGAAGTAACTGTCGACCTACTGCCAGTATGGAAAGCAAGGGGTTAATAGTTGCCCCGTTTCCCTCGTTCGCGCACATCTCATCCCCTGTCGACTATTAATTTGCCTTTCAATGCAGTACCGGTGATTATCGATTTGATCGGTTGAAACCTCGCCGGCAGAGAATTTTTGCTTCCTTCTAAAGTTTATCGGACCGCGCGTTTCCACTAGTTTTAATAGAACCGTCGAACGAGCAGTTCGTTTGTGCAACAAATCATTCCCGGTCGTTTGCCTTTCGATTTGACGTTGACCTAATCGAATTTTCTACGCGATCGTACGATTTATCAACGCTTTGTATAATACGATCGCTCGCTATAATTTGCAATCAACATTTTTCTTTGGCAAGACTGACGGCAGTGGCTTAATGAAGTTGATACTGTATACTACACACACACACACACACACACACGTGCGCGCGCGCGCGCGCATAAAAAACATTTTAGTAGAGTAAACGTTAAAAATATAAATTGTTAAAATTAATAACATTTCATTCTAATTAATTTTAAGTAAACTTTGACAAAAACTTATTATCATAAGTTATTATCATTACTACTTATTATCATAAGTATTACATAAAGCCACCATTGAAATATGCAAAGACAGAAAATAACTATTCTACTAATAACACTTTAGAACTCCATATATTTTGAATCATTGGACCCTACATGATATTTTATATTTTCTTTTCTATTACATGAATATTTATAAACGCTTTATTTTATCCGTTAAAGGAAAAATTGAACTTGTTGCGTTAAAAAGATAGAAAAAAGATTTGACCGAGAAGAAAAGTATGTAAATTAGATTAAAAGATATATTTAGTACGATGCACGCGAAAATTTATATACTAATGTTTCAAGCGTGTTAATGAACATGTCACGTCGAGCAACGCCTGGCAATTATCATATTTGCAGAACTAATTAAATTAACGCAGTTCGTATAAACGATTTTTGCATTCTGTATTGATCTATTGCTGTATTCAACAGCGAGGGACTATATGCATCGCGATATGTGGAAGTGGTAATTTAACACATAATATTGACACGAGTCGTATTATATGTACCTCACGTTATTGTTTTTATTACACTTATTACGCTTCTTAGAATTTCGTACTTAATGGCCGTAGCCAATTAATTATATGATTACACAAATTATTCACGGCACAAATCCGGAGCAGCGATATGTGCATCGTCGATGGTCAGTTTATCGATCAGAGCTTTACGCCGATATACATCCTATGCGATTTGAAGGCAAATTAACCAATTCATATACAATAATAGAAATAATTTACGCAAGCGGAAGAATGATTCAAAATATTGCAAACGAAAATTAGCGACTATACAGAGTGTCCCAAAATTATCGGATACTCCTCAACTAGCAGACTCTTGTCGTATTGCAAACATTGCAATACGAAAATTCTTAAACAAAAATGTCGAGACTTAATAGCTTTATTTTATAGTTTTTAAATGAGAATTTAAAGTTGACCAATCAGTTTATAAGAAATTGTGGCATTTAGGCATGATACATATACATTGCACAATAAACCGTGCCGTTGTACATTGACTTTTTAAGTATTAATACAATTTTGCATACAATGTATAGAAATAACTTCTGAGCTTTGTCTTTGTCTGCTTATATATTATTGTTTAATTTAAACTACACATAATAATAACAGCTCAATATTATTACAAAATATCAAATATATCTTGAACTGTGAAGGACATTAAATTACTATACTTTGATATTAAAAATATTATGAATATAATATAGTTTTGCAACATAATTGTAAAATCAAGTATACTAAAAAATTATGTGATATTTCGGGTTATATTTCCAGAAATTTTTAAAGATGTGAACAATCGTATATATTCCAATAAAATAAAATAAATATATAAAAGATTTAACTAGAGAAAATAAATGATAACATAACATAAAAATGTTATTTAAAGATATTTAACGCAAAAAAAACTTTAGTGTTACTGAATCAAATATAATAACATTTTATATTATTATATTATATTAAATTGCGCAAATATTTTCATAAATTAAAGATTTTAAGCCAGTATCAAATTTATTCTGTTAAATATCTTTATTTTTTGTAATGAAATCTTCTAAACTTTTCGTAATACATAATTATTATTTCTTAAATATAAATTGAAAAGGTTTAATAAAAGACTACATTTTTTAATTATACTGTCCAATAAAAATGACATCTTTTCGAGCACAAGAATGAGGGTAATTGTTTCTCGTAACTTTTTAAGCGCTGAATATGATCCTTAAAAAGTATTCTATTACATAACAATTTTGAGAAATTTGGAGCTAAAATTGCAAAAAGGAATTTTGCGGTTAAAGTTGCATCTCCAGCTCCAATTTTGACGCCAACACCAGCTCTAAATTATTAAATTAATTTAATTCAATTATTAAATTAATTAAACTATTAAAATAAACAGTCACAAACAAACAAATCAAAACCTAAATGTAATTTTCTTATCATTGCAAAATTATATTAATACTTAAAAAACAAGTCAATCTGTACAAGAACACTTTCATTATTCTGTAATGTCCGAGCGCGCCAATTTTCCGCAAACTGTGATTGGTCAACTTTAAACGTTTTTTAAACTATTTAAAAATTATTATACTCTCGACATTTTTGTAAAATAAAAATTTTCATCTTATAATGTTTCATAGAATCAGTCAATGAAAGAATAGTTTTGAGATATCCTATATAATTGACTTCATTGTATTGAGATAATATATAATCTGAAGAGCAATCTCAATATTACAACGTGCCGTTAATATTGGAGTAATTGTTCAATTATCAAACATCAATTATTAATTCAATTACTTATTCAATAATCTCTCGTTGCACTCTCAGTGATTGTAACTGGTGCAACATTCTGACGTAGAAAATAGACTATATGTGCACACATGTTCTTCTAAGGTAGCAGGTTGTCAGTTGCATTATACCATTCTAGTACAATATTTCTTCCCACAATCTTATCCGCAGAACAATAACTGATGATCTCGCACGAGATTCTCATACTCACGTAGAAACGTTCTTTCTCTCATTACTATTGTCTATCTATGCTTATCTAAACGTTAAGCAAGAATAAGGGACAAAACAAGATATACTCAAAAATATCAAATAAAATTAGTTTGATGATAATCATCTTAATTGGAAGTAAAATTTCTATTATGTTATAAAAGAGTTTTATTTTCGCGGTTATTATTAAAAATGTAAACATTGAAAGATTTAGTATAATACAATAGGGTAATATTGAACTAACTCATTTTTCTAAATTTAAAAAAAACAAGAAAAAATTTATGTTTCGATATATTTCCCAGCATTCGTTTCCAATTCGTTATTAATAGTTAGAAGATTATGTAATTCTACTACGTTTTATATAATTTGCGACATTGAGGATGATCCAATAACGATTTAAACAGATGTCTTTTTTATCTTATTAATATTTATATAACTAAATTGTAAAATCGTAAAAAAAAACTAGCATTAAGACTTAACTTGGCTGATTAGCCCTTCGACTTAATTATTTTAAAAATATTTAATTTGTGATATCCCTACCTGTGTATATAGAGAATATAAGAGAATATCTTAATGTATTTAATATATAATCTTTCAATAACGCTGAAATAGAAGATATTATACATCTATAAAAATAATTATATAGACTGATAAATTTCTACAATCTTTGCAATTTCTAGATATTCCAAATTTCTAAATCAATAAGAGCTTTCGTCGAATATACAAAATTCTGGTGAGTTCTGGCGAACGGAGGAGCAGACGACTCGTGAGAAATCGGTATTCACAATAAGTAGTCACGAAGGATTTCTCGGGCTGAAGTCGTGACCGTCTGTTCCTGATGATATATCCCACGGGATCGTCGGGAACTTGCCAATCACTATTCGGGGATTTACGCCGTCCCCGAAGTGACCTCGCGGTAGCTCATACAGAATCGTCCTAAGCCATGACATCGCCCGGCTGTAGTGCATCCTTCGGCCAAAGGTCCGTGATCGCGCTCGCCGCAACGGATTTGCATAATACGAAGAAGAGAGTGAGGAAGAGAAAGAGAGAGAGAATCATAATTCCGTGG